CCCTCTCTGTGGGCACACGCACCGTCACCCCAGCCCCGCCTCCCCTTGTAGCCCCGTCATCACCAGCAGCCCCCCTGGAGGAGAATCGCCCCCAGGCATGGCCCGTGCGGAACAGTGCAGCTAAGGACATGGCAGCAGGGCAGCGGGGTCAAGACTCCACCCTCACACGTACTGCGGGGCGCGGGTGGAGGGCGTAACCCCCATGGCGCTGCTGGGCTGTCTGGGCGATCTGCAGTAGGCCATGGAGGCGGTGAGTGGCCCTGCAGGTAGGTGGGGGGTGGGGAGCAGAGTTGGGAGAGGGGTGGAGTAGGCGGGATGGGGAGGGGCTGGGTTTTGGGCACTAGTTCTCTAAAAGTTTCGCCATCACTGACTTGTGATAATACAAGCACTCTAAACTGATGATACATTTAACTCCACCTCCCAGCTCTGCCTGCTCTTCTACATCTTGAACTATTCAAATTTTGGAGGAAATGTTTTTCCATTGACAGATGCTACAACCTCCAAATCACATTGCTTTATAAAACCACATCCCAAATCTCATGGGAGAAGCAGAGAAAATTGGAAGCAGGTGGTCCTGCAATCATCTATCTTTGTGATAGGAAGGCCTTTATAGATGATAAGCAGAAGTGTGAATTGCACCTGGCGATCTACAGGGAGGCCACACAACTCGCAAAGTAGTGGTGTGACATTGACGTACTGAGCTGCACCCATTAACTACTCTTACCACTGCATTCTGGAGTGCTTTTTTTTTTAACCTCACAATAACGGTTTCTTTTTTCAAGGCAGGTGGAATGGCCTTCTCTTTCGAAAATAAATTTACCACTGTGTGGATCCTGCATAAATCATTTCGCAGAAGGCCTTAATTATCCAGGTGAAACATAGATTTAAGAAACAGGTGTTCACTTCATGAATAGTCATAACATCAAATACTTCCCAGGTAAGACAAGGCCATGCCCTTGATCAATCCAACAAAACCTGCCAGTCAACGCCAAGTGGGGCTGAGCCCTTTATCTGTTAAATCAGGGGTCTTCAAACTTGGCAACTTTAAGACTTGTGGACTTCAACAGTCCTGGCTGGCTGAGGAATTCTGGGAGTTGAAGTCCACAAGTCTTAAAATTGCCAAGTTTGAAGACCTCTGTGTTAAATGCTTAGAGTTGTTCATGTGATTTACAGATGCTTGACAACCGACTCACATTCATGACGGTTGCAGTGTCCTAGAATCATATGATCCCCTTTTGCGACCTTCTGACAAGCAAAGCGAATGAGAAAACCAGATTCACTTAACAACTGTATTACTAATGTAACAACTGCAGTGATTTGCTTAACAACCGTAGGAAAGTCATAAAATGGAGCAAAACTCACTTAACAAATCTGTCATTTAACAACCTAAATTTTGGGGTCAATTGTGTCTAAGGTGACCAACTTTTTTACAATGAAAAGGAGGATACAAATAAATTGAAGAAAAAAATATCGTAAATAAAAGAAACATTTTATTCATTGCAACAATAATACAGACAACTTGCATGTGCAAAGTTTGCCAGCCGGGTGTTTTGGCGCGCTCAGTAGCAATTCCTATTGGCTTTCGAAAGCCAATAGAGGAAGTAGCACAGCTCATGCAAAAGTTGAAAAAAAAACATCAAAAAAGGTGCCGGAACGCCATTCTGAGCGTTCTATGAGGAAAAAAAAAGCCCTGCAGATTAGTCTTCAAATATTGAAAAGGAGGACATGTAGGACACTTTTCGAGGGAGGACATAACTTACAAAAGGAGGACTGTCCTCCCTAAAGGAAGACGGTTTGTCACCTTATTGTGTCATAAGTTGAGGACTACCTGTATCTACGGCTGCTGCAAACGGTGATCGATAAACATGCAGGCCAATTTTAGTCCCACGTTTGCCACTGCTTACATGCTGGAACAAGGCAATATTAGGAACTGAGTTTTTCCCTTAATTATGTTCTATTATCATATTTTCCTCCTTCCACCCCCCTTTAATAAAGACAAATTAGTTTGTGCATGTTTCAGATTTTCAGTTTCCTATTACCTTGGAAAAGAACCATAGCTATTCTGATACTCTTTTAATGAATGAGTCAGGTGCTGTGTAAACATATTTATAGAAATGTGTAGTAAATCTAACATCTGCCTTCTTTCGTACTGTGTTCATGTCTCCCAGGCTTCTTTTAAATACTAGAATTAGTTCAGACCCGTGCCCTAATCCAGAATTGCTTCAAAAAGTTTTGGGCGATAGAGTTTCTTCAAAAGATGCCAAACATTTTAATGCATTTTTTTTCTCCTTCTCTCCCATTAAATATAGAGAGATTATTTATGTGGCCCGCATTTAATCAATGTCATAAAAGTTTAATCACATTTGAAGTCTATTTTTTTCCTCCAGACCCTGCCACTCACTGGACCATAGTCATCTTTTTAGCATGCTTCCCAAGACAGTCTGAACCTTGAGCAAAAATGCACATTCTCTCCCCCAGTTCAACTTTCTTAGTGTATTGGCACAATGTTCATATTTGTGGTTCAACCAAAACATGCTTTACTCTACAGCGTAGTCCTCAACTTACAACCATTCGTTTAGTGATCCTTTGAAGTTACAATGGTGCTGAAAAAAGTGACTTGTGAACGGTTCTCACACTTATGACCACTGCAACATCCGTGCAGTTATGTCACCAAAATTCAGACACTTGGTAACTGGCATGTATTTACAACAGCTGCAATGTCCCAGGGTAATATGATCACCATATGTGACCTTAGGTGGCATCCCAGAAGTAAAGTCAATGGGGGAAGCTAGATTCACTTACTGACCCCGATTCACTTAACAACCATAGCAAAAAAAAAAAAAAAAAGGCCACACACAACTGACTTAATGATGTTATTTAGCAATGTTCCAATCCCAATTGTGGTCAAGGACTACCTGTATTCCATTCTAGATGTTTGCACAACATACAGAAGCATAAAAAACTAGGTTAACTCAATCCAAGTCTCATACAATGGACAAGGCTAAACTGTGATTTGTCAGCTTTAGATTACATAAGCACAATTTTTGAAACACCACTAAAGATGAGAGATCCTATAGCTGTAGATTAATGTGTTAAGTATTGTGGTCAAGAGCAAAATTTCCCAATTTTGGATTGTGTTAAAACAACACAACTGCGCAGGAGAATCAGCATCATGTACAACTTTCCTCTTTATAGTCTCTTTTTCATATTAATTTTCTTCACCTCCTCTCATCATTTTTTCCTTCCTCTGAATGTTTAAATTGGGAAGCTCTGCCAATTTCACTCTACACGTTATACTTTGATAATAAAGGGTTTATTATTATTAACTTTCATGTGGCTTTAAATAGGCCTGGCCCAGTGGTGGCAAACCTATGGCACGGGTGTCAGAGGCGGCACTCAGAGCCCTCTCTGTGGGCACGTGCACCTTCGCCCCAGTCCTAGGCCTTCAGCTGGGTTTTATAAAACCTTTTGTGCAAAAAAAAAAAAAAAAAAATTCAATCAGTCAGTCAATTTCAGCTTCTCGCAGAAAAAAAAGATGTTGCAAAGTTGGAATTGATTGAACTTTTTAGTCCCACCCAGTCTGCCGTTACCACTGCAGCCACGTCCACCCAATGGGCCAAACCTACCTGGCACCCAACCACGCATAAGTGGGTTTGGGGTTGCAGTTTGGGCACTCGGTCTCTAAAAGGTTCGCCATCACTTGCCTGGCCCATCTTCTTTCCTTTTCTTAATAAGATTCTGCAGATTGGTATAAAATTAAACCTTTCATATTAGCAAGATACTCAAGGAATAAATTTTATGGTCGCTTCCTAATCACATCTGTGAGCCACTTGGCTATATAAATTTGACAAATAAGCTGCTATTTTACGGTAATGTGGATTTTTACAGTAAACTTTTTTTTTAAAAAAGGGTATCAGAGTTACTTTCTGCTAATGTTTGAATGCTTCATTGTTAGATGGCCTTGTTTTCTCTTATTTGTTACTTGTAACTCTTCGAAATTCAGGTTCAAAATAAATTTGGTAAATTGCTGCATTCTTTTCCTTTCCCCCTCTGCTATAAGTATCCAAGGATAGAAAGCGATCACTTTTATTTAACTTTAAAAGGGTCAGATAAAATACTAAATCATTTCCCAATTACATTCATAACAATGGGAAAGTGGGCCTTTCTTCAACGCAGAAAAGCTGAACAATCCATTCTCCCACGTTTTCCCCCTTTACAAAACTTGCCTAACTTTATCCCTCATCCAAATCGTGGTGTGTGTGTGTGTGTTTCCCCCCTACGAATCTCAGTCAACCTGTAGTCCGAATTCCTGACTTTTAATTCCCACCGAGTTACGCTGGGCTCGCTCCAGATTAGACCATACGTCACGTAATCATAAAAAAAAATACGAGATTCTTAGCTTTTCCTTTTATTTGATTTTTTGCAGTCTAGTCTTCCAATGGTGCTTTGCAACCGCTGATCGAAACCACGCCAATTGCAACAGGTCCTCCTTCCCCCCACCCCTCTCTGGCGATGCAACCCCGGGAATTAAAGCTATACCTGTTGCAATCCTGCCCGGAGATGCAGCTGTTTCACGGATCAGAGAGATCGCTTGCCCCCCACCTCCCGCACCAAAAAAACAAAAGAGAGAGAGAGAGAGAGAGAGAGAGAGAGAGAGAGAAGGATGATTCATTTGGATTTTTTTGCAAAATTAGCAGGCGCTCAGTTTCCTCGGCTGGCAAAGCGCACCCGGCTTTGCACAGCACAAGGCAACCCACCCGGCTTGCACGCTCCAGCCCAACCCCGCCCCTCCCTCCTGCTCTCTCTCTCTCTCTCTCTCTCTCTCTCTCCCCCGCCCCCCCAATTGGTTCTGCAATCTCCTCGTGGCATTATGGGATGAAACAAGATGTAGGCAGAGAACAGCGAGAGGAGAATGCTACGTCGCCGTGGGACGAGGCTTTGCGGCAACCAATCGGGGCGCGACGTGGCTGAGCCACTGCAAGGGGTGGGACAGCTATTTCAGCGCTGGGGGGGACAGGGCAGCTCGCCAGAGGAGGCTTGCTGGCGGAAAGGAGCGGAGGGCGTCGACTCTGCTGCTGCTGCGAGCCCCACTGTCGCCGCCCGCCCGCCAGCGCGCTGTGCAAGCGAGCGACGCCACTTTCCAGACGCCTTGGCTCTCGCCTTGCCGGCCGCTGCGCTCCCGTTTAGCACCGGGCAAGAGAAGCGAGAAGCCGGGCGGGCGGGGCGCGCTGGGGCGGCGGGCACCTTGCTGCCGCTGCTGCTGCCTTTCCAAGGAGGGACGCCGGCGAGGGCTGTCGTCGTAACGCGGGTTTCCAAGGCGAGCCACTGTGAAGGTAAGCGGGCCCGCGTAGGTGCGCGCAAACTCGGGGATTCTCTGGGCGTCTTGCATTGCCTTATATTGCATTGCGAATAACGTTTGTAGGGGCGCGGAGGAGCGGATCAGGTTGAGAGGGTGGGGGGGGGACGATTTGGGCCCGGGGGGTGCTTCCAAGCGATGCTCCGAGCGAGAGATGAACGGCGGGAGATGCCGGCGGTTTTAACTGCGTTCCCGGCTTTGCGCGCGTCTTGTTTTGGTCCACGCCCCTCCCCAAAAGCCCCCCGTAACTTGGCCGTCGTGGGGATGGCTGCTGGGAAATGGAGCCTCCCCCAGTAGAGGAGGAGGAGGTGGAGGCTCTCCTTCTGGGGGCAGCCGACGCCCGCCTGCCCATCCTCCCCGGGGGAATTCAAAGGCTGCCGCTCCCATCCGCTTGGCCGACCTGGGGTCGTTGCGCTTCGGGGTCTCTGCAGGGCCCCCGAGTTGGAGAAGACGCTCTGCTTGGGGGCGGGAGGGGAAGCCTACAAGTCCTGCTACCCACAATCGCCACCCACCCCCGCCTCGAAACTCTCTTGGGCTGGTGCTTGGACTCCACCTGTCATTCTAATGTACCTCTAGTTTGAGTCTACCTGTCAATTGGACCCATCTTGGCTGAAGTCTATATAGACTCAGTCTTTCTTCATGGATATCACGGGGAAGAGCGGTCCTTTTCTTCTCCTTTGACTTCTCTGACCCCTCCCCCCTTTCCACTACATGGGGGGGGGGAGTGGATGGGTACCACTGATCTGAATCCTGTCCATCCTGATCTACATTCTCCTGGGCTTCCTCCAACCTTCCCCGTATCCTACTAGAGAAATCTTAGCCCCCCCTTCTTTTGGGAGGGGTAAACAGTTTAACTCATTCAGTTTTGGGACTTTTGCGGGGGGGGGGGGGGACTGAGAGAAAATCTAGTAGGGGGGTTCTCCTCTTTGCAAGGAGGAAAGTGGATAGACCGTCTTGCTTTTACTACCAAATGGCAGATTAAAAAAAAAAAAAAAGAGGATCCGTAGATTTCAGAAATTGCCTTGTCATGTGAGAAAAGGTAGAGTAACATGATCTGAAACCAGGGTGTGTGGCTGACTGATGGCTGTTCACTTTGCCGGCTTTTAACCTTGTTTCTCCTTTGCAATCCAATGCCTGATCCCGTGGACACTTAGTGAGGAAGAGAACCGGCTGGATTCTTCTAGACTAGAGTCAGTGGCTTTGAAATGGGAGGGGGTGCCTTTTTTTTTTTTTTTTTTTGGCCAAGGGTTTTTTTTTTCATCAGCCAGAACTGTCTTCTCCTAGCCTGCAGGTGGAGTTTCTCTTGGACTGGATCCAAAAAAGGAGGGGGCATTGGAACATTCAGCCCCCCCCCCCAAAAAAAAAGCTGAGAGGGGACCTCCCTTGTGTAGCCCCATAAGTGTCTGGGTTGTCTAAAAGGGTGAGAAAGGTTCCCCCCTTTTAAATAGCCTGAAATGAGTGGTTGTAACCTGCACAGTGATGCATTGGTAATAGTGCAGTGTACCTCTGCAAGTATATTTGGGGGGGGGAGTGTCTTTTCTTTACAGGATTCATCTTTTAAATGCTGCTTGTGATTATAATAGGATTGTAATGGAGAAAGATGGGAAAGGGTTCTTGATTAATAGGTCATCCCTGTTATTGGGGAAGGGGTTGATTCAGGATCTTGCCAAAGAACAATCTTTCCCCTCTTTTTGGTGGTGGGAGTTCAAAAGGACCCTGATTGTCTCCTTTCTCTGCTTTCCTTTTGCACAGATGGCAGTGACTGCACATATTATTGTGCTGTGTCAGCCTTCTCTAATCTTGGGGGCGCTTCAGGTATTGGATGCTTTAGCTGCCATCCCTTTCAATGATGTGGCTGCTGAGTGTGGATCCTGGGAAATGAAAATCCACATTGTGCAAGCATGTCCACATGGAAGACGTTTACGCTAAACCCCATTGTGATGTGTGCACCTTGTCCAATTTTGTTGTTATAATCTTGGAAGGAAGCTGGTGAAAATGCCCCCTTCCCAAAAAAGAAAAAATAAATTTCTCTCCTGGTCCAGTTTTAGATCACCCATAAGCTGAGATGGGATAACCTGATCTTACTTTAAAAGTCATAGTGGCTGATGCTGGTAGACAAATTTATGTGGTATCTGAGGATAGGGAACTACTTGTGCAATCTGGTTTTGAGCTGGAATATCCCAACATAATGTTTATTTCCCCCCCCCCCCAAGAGTAACAGCTGAAGTTTGGAGGTGTGTTGGAATGCTCCAGGTGACAGGATAATTACTCCCCATTTATACCTAGTAAACTCCTGTCTAGCACTTGGGAGAACACCTGCTACCTTCAGATTTTGCTTGCTGAATCAGCCAATGAGAGTCTTGAGGATTACAGGTACTCCTCAGCAACCACAATTGGGACCAAACTTTCTGTTGCTAGGTGAAGCGGTTGTTATAGGAGTCATGACTGAGGTTTTTTTTTTTTTTTTTTTTTTTTTACTTGTCACTGTTTTTAAAGGAACCACTGCAGTTAAGTCAGTCATGCAGTTGATAAGTGAAGCGGCTTCCCTCCTTGACTTTGCTTGTTGGAAGCTGGCTAGGAAAAGTCTCAGATGGTGATCACAGGATGCTGGGATGCTGCAACCATTGTAAATATATGCTGGTTGCAGAGCGCCAGAATTGCGAGCACCTGTTGGGGGTGCTGAGATGGTCGTAAGTATGAGGACTGGCTGGAAGTTAATTTTAGTGCTGTTGCAACTTCAGTTGCTAAACAAATGGCCTTACGTCAAGGACTTATATTATTAAAATACTATAGCACAGGGGTCCTCAAACATGGCCACTTTAAAACTTGTGGACTTCAACTCCCAGAATGCTGGCTGGGGAATTCTGGGAGTTGAAGTCCACAAGTCTTAAAGTGGCCAAGTTTGAGGACACCTGCAATAACATATTGGAAATTTTCCATTATATGGTTAAGGGTGCTCATTTATGGAGTGCTTTTACTGTGAGAAGGTCTCTGTTGAAAATAGAAGCTGAAAAATGAGACCAGCCACCATCTACTGCAAAAATAGCTTTAAAAAAAACCCTCATGAAAATGTCAGTCAGTGAAAAGTAGCATCTCTTGAAGCTGAATGCAATTAGCTTATTTTATTATGTGCAAATGCGAATATTGAAGTTCAACCTTGAAATCGAATCATCATAAACATTTTGGAGAATTAGAATCTTGGCAATGCTGTTAATGTGATGGGATCTCTCCCTCTTCTTGAATAGCTCCATTTCGTGGCTTCAGATCCATTTGGGGGTCCCTGCCAAGATGTGATATTTGTTTACAACTTGGTCTATCTTCCACAAAGCACCTCTCATTCTCAGCATGTTGGCTTCGATTGCCCAGTAGAAAGAAGTGGGTGTCTAGCCCAGCAATGGCGAACCTTTTAGAGACCGAGTGCTCAAACTGCAACCCAAAACCCACTTATGCATTGTCTGGTGCCGGGTGGGTGTGGCCCATTGGGTGGGCGTGGCTGCGGTGGTAACGGCAGACTTCCCTGAGAAGTTGAAATTGACTGATTGATTGAACCCTTTTTTTTTGTACACAGCATCAGAGGCCTAAAGCAAAAAGGTTTTATAAAACCCAGCTGAAGGACTGGGGCCACGGCGTGCGTGCCCACAGAGAGGGCTCTGAGTGCCATAGGTTCGCCACCACTGGTCTAGCTTGGATGGATGGGTGATTGCAAACATTGAAAACAGGCTATTCCTGGATAGTTCCACAGTGCCAAGTGACTTTGTAATGGGATTAAAAGGCTAGTGAGACTTGGTTTCAAGGGACAGTGGGCTCAGTGTTACACACAAAGGGGATGTGCTAGTGTGTGCTCCTATTAGAAAGACTGCCACACTTTGCTTGACAGTGCAGTTTGCCTTTTTGTTGTTTAGCTAGGAAAATTGCAAATTTATGTCTGTTGTAATGCAGGGCGGAACATGGATCTGCTTAGCCAGTTTCTGTTCTTAACAGAAAATCATACATTTTTAGGGCTGAGTAACTCTGCACTAAGCCATAGTTGGCAATCCAGTGGGAATGTTATGCAGCCAGGGACTACAATCTTTTCCTTTATTTAATACTAGGGAGTGGCAGATATCTTTAGCTGCTTTGCAAATTTGCATGGTGCTTTTTTAAAAAATAGGACAGTTCCATTAAATCTATTGGAATCCTTGTTCAGTTGTACTATTGAGTATTAAGGGGGGTTAAAACATGCTTTATTAATGAACTGCTGCCAAAATTCAGCAGTTGTTCTTCAGGGACTGCAAAAAGGACATTGGATGTTTTTGTTTTGTCCACTGCTGACACAAACCATAATGGCTGTGCTCAGATATCATGTTATGGCAGAACCGAACCACCTACTTAGAGGACAGATAACAGACAATTTTCTCTTCATTCTACTGAGAATTAAAGGTGATTTCACATAAAGTTGAAAGAGCAGAATGCTTTTTGGAAGCACCCTAGTCTCATTTCCATCCTTTAAAGGCCTCACAAATTGTGCCACTGAAATGAGGCCAAACAGGCTGAACTTTGGTATGGACATCTCCCACTCCCCTCTAGATTTTTGAGGGGAACTAAAATCACACTGATGAAAATAAGCTTATTTATGTTATTTTTATCCTGCCTTTTATTATTTTATAAACAACTCAAGGTAACAAACATATGTAATACACCGTCCTCCTGGTTTTTCCGCAACAACCCTGTGAGGTGAGTTGGGCTGAGAATGACTGGCTCAAAGTCACCCAGCCAACTTTCATGCCTAAGGTGGGACTACAATTCACTGTCTCCCGGTGATTGGCCCAAAGTCACCCAGTTTTCATGCCTAAGGTGGAGTGCAAACTTGTCTTCTGGTTTCTAACCTGGTGACTTTAACACTTAACCCCAAGACTAAACTGCCTGTCTATTTAGCCGTGGCACTCAGGTAGTATGGTCTCAGGATGCAAGAAGAAAGAAAAAAAAAAGAATAGTGTA